ATTCTTCTATTTTATGGCGAGGAAAATCACTAACCTAATAAAAACTGAAGAGGGCACAGACTGCAGTTTCTCCACTTATGTTTGGCGAGTAAATTTTTTTAAAACCTAAAGAATAATTCTTATTGAAGCCTATATTTCAATTTTCTTTATTGATATTTTAATGAAAGTTTATAAAGAACTTGGGTTTCCAATCCTTCATTGTTGCACATTTTCCTCCCTGCCTCCCCTACCCCCAGATACCTTTTTTCTTTGGGAAAAAAGCTCTTCCATTATTATATAGTCCCTACCCTCAGACCACATTACTAGGCAACTTTTGTTCTGGACTCTTGTCATGCCAATAATACCTAATCATATATTCCTTTTATATAGTTCTCTCCCTCATCAGTTTCAATGCCGTGTACATTATTTATCCCCTCTTTTCTTAGATTTCACCAAACCCCAAGGCAGTCCTATTTCATAACAGTGGAATTACGCCATATTCAGAAGGTGAACAAACACATGAAGAAATGTTCAAAATCCCTAGCTCTAAGAGAGATGCAAATTAAAACAACTATGAGATATCATCTCACCCCAGTAAGAACAGCAAAATTGAACAGAACAGCAAACAACAAATGCTGGAGAGGTTGTGGAGAAACTAGAGCCCTTATTCACTGTTGGTGGGAGAATAAAATGGTACAACCACTGTGGAAGGCAATAAGTATGAAACTTTCTCAAAAAGTTGAAAATAAAAATACCATTTGACCCAGCAATTCCACTACTGGGAATTTACCCTGAAGAAACCAGAATTGCCAGCCAAGCAGATATATGCACAAGCACGTTTACTGTGGCTTTATTCACAGTAACAAAGAGTTGGAAACAACCCAAGTGCCCATCAACAAATGAATGGATACAGAAGCTGTGGTATATTCACACAATGGGATATTATACAGCACTGAAAAACGAGGAACTCGTGAAATATTATCCAAAATAGGTGACCCTGGAGGACATTATGTTGAGTGAAATGTCTCAGTCGCAAATAGATTTTAATTTTTCAAATATCCAAAGTGCAGACAACATCAAGCCTTCATATTTACCTGGTTTGAACTTAGCAAGCTCAGTCACTCAAACTTCTTGTAATCAGTCAGAACAGAGTCATAGCTGACCCTCTAGTGACTTTTCAGAGGCTGTCAATGACATGGGAGAAGACTGCCCATCCTTCCCTCTCAGAGCCTTTGGTAGATTAGAACTGCCAAAGAAAAGTCGCCTTTGCACTAGGAGCAACTCTCTACTGTCTAAGCCACCAGAGCTACCTTCAGCATCAGCTGCCAAGGCCAGTTTGCCACAGTCCTCACCACTCCCTATAGCCTTACACTCACTCTCTCATTTACTCACATCACCTGCTCTGGCGTCAGCGGCACTACGAGTTTGAGGCATAAAACTAAAAGTACCTCCACTCTGGAGGTATTGAAAAGGAAAAGAATAATGCCAGGACAACATCAGGGCTCATAGGGAAGACTAAAAAGGACAAAAGCTTGGTGTCTGAAATTTTGATACCAACACGAGGTTGAGAGAGACTTCCAGAGGTCCTCCTGCACTATTAACAGACAGGTGTTCCCAAGGAAGGTCCTGGTTCCACCACTTCTACGTATACAAGCCCTCGTCTGATGCTGATGCATGTCTACAGCACAAACAAGTCTGTCTGTGAACAAGTTCAGTGAGGCTTAGGAGGGAGTCATCCCAGTCCCCTGTCCTTTAAGGACTGTCCAAGGCGAACAGGCTCGCTTCTGATACAAAGCCCACAGCTCAGAAGGCAGAGCACAGGGGAGCCACAGGAATACCTTTCCTCTTGCTAATGTCCCAGATTACCTACAAAGGTAATCCTAAACTCCTATCACGTGAACTACACATCAGACAGTGTGTGGCCTTTTTTTAAGCCAGAAGAAAGGGGAATTATACACACACACACACACACACACACCCCTATTGGCAGCATCATGATGGATGGTAAAGAGGCTGATACTGTTAATCGCTCCAGTTTGCTTAGCTCTACAATCAACACTCTTGGCACCAGCAGCCAGGAAATTAAAAGATGAACTTCATTGGAAAGGCTGCTTTCAAAGACCTCTCCAAAGTACTGAAGAGCAACAACGTTAGTCTGAAGACTAAGATGCTCTTGATAGAGGCCATGGGCTTTACAATTACTTGCTATGCATCACAAAGTTGGACAATGACTAGGGATGACAGTAGGAGAGTTGATGCCTTTGAGCTGTGGTGCTGGAGAAGAGTACTGGATATACCAGGGACTGCTAGGAGAACAAACAAGTTCAGCCTGGAGAGGGTGAAGCCAGGCTGATCCTTGAAGGCAAGGATTCTGAAGCTTCATCTGACATACTTTGGACATGTTGCAAGGCAGGATCAGTCCTTGCAGAGGGACGTCATGCTTGGGAGGGTGAAGGGACAGCGCAGAAGAGGAAGACCCTCGGTGAGATGGATTGATTCAGTGACTAGGGTAACGGGGATAGGGGTGTCAGAGACAGTAAGATTGGGAAGGGACAGAGCAGGGTTTAGGGCTGTTGTACACAGGGTCGCTATGAGTTGCAGGCAACTTGACAGCACATAACAGCATATATATATATCCCACTACATCTCCAAGAAGCTTGTTCTAAAGAGGAGAAATTAATCACTCATCAGCACACAAGTAAGCATCAGACACGCACTTACATACACTCAGAGATGCACAGGCAGAAATGGGATAGAAAGTTATCCATTCATCAGTTTTGAGGAGGGAAAATAGCAGATGAAGCGAGCAAGCAGGAATGAATGGAGGAGCAAATGACCTGCTACATAAGATCTCTAAGGGACCAGGAAAAGAAGCCAAAAGGGTAAAACCTTTCTCCAAAAAAGCCTTCCTTTAGAGTTAAAGCCCAAATGCAGCAGCCCGTAGGAAAATAAGTTTCTATCTGTTAAAGGGAGGGGGGTGGAAATATATATTTTAGATGTTTAATTTAACAAGTTCATATCTTTCCATTAACATTCACAAAATATGGAGGTATCTACATGAAACTATCAAGGAAAAACTTTTAAAATGTCCCGATTCTGTGCACACAGATACACAAAAATATGCAAGGAAAGCTTTCACCGTCCCTATTGCGTGTCCACACTTAATAATTAGAAAGTTCCAGATATGCTGCGCAACCTCTGCAGACAAGTGAGCTCGGCTGGCTAAAGAGGAAGGAGCTACACTAATAACCAAAGGTGGGCGTCCTGATTCACGCTCCCTGGGAGGAAAGTGCGGAATCTCCCGCCCCTCTAGTTACCGCCTCTGAAAACCCGCTGGAAAGGCAACTCAGAAGAAGCTGCACTGCAATCCCAGAGGCACGCGGTTCGAATCTACCAGATGCTCTGCTGGAAAAGGAGGGACAATCTCCTCTTGTACCAGTCAGATCCAATTTGATGGTACACACATATTAAATAAAATTCAAAAAAAAAGCAAAAGGCAACTCAGTCAATTGTGATTCAACGGCATGTCACAACAAAAATACATGAAAAGAACAAAAATAAAAGACTAGACTGTGGCACAGTGAATTACATAGTGGCCTTTCTAGTTACGTTCTTCTTGCTGCCAGGCGCCCTCAAGTCCAGTACTCCTCACAGTTACCTTCTGAACAACAACACATCTGACCCTGGTCCTAGCCTGGGCCGTCCTCCTCATTTCTAACACACCTGACGCACTGCTGCAACACTGCAATCCATCTCTCTGAGAGTCTTCCTCTCTTTCTCTGACCTTTGCAAGCATGATGGCCTCCTCCAAGGAATAGCCTCTTCTAATGCTGTTATGTACCGCTGAGTCGCCTGCGACTCATAGCGACCCTATGTACAACATACCTAAACCCTGCTCTGTCCTGTCTCTGAGACACCCATCCTGCTTATCCCAGTCACTGAATCAATCCACCTCATAGAGCTCCTGTGCTCTATTCACCTCCCGCGCTGTCCCTCCACCCTCCCAAGCATGATGTCCCTCTCCAAGAACCTGTCCCTCCTTGCAACACGTCCAAAGTATGTTAGACTAAGCCTCAAAAGCCTTGCTCCAAGGAGCAGCCTGGTTTAACCCTCTCCAGGATGAACCTGTTCTTTTTCTTAGCAGTCCATGGTACCCTCAATACTCTTCTCCAGCACCAGTTAAGACATCAATTACAGCATGGCCAAAATGTGTGAGAACGTTTCACCATCCTTGCCTCCAAGGAGCACGCCGGCTACACATTTTCTAACAGCCTCAGCCAGCTGGCACCTGGCCTGTCATTCACTAGCCTCTGTGACAACAAGCACAGGCTTCCACCACCTACAACGACGTGAATCATTTCTGAGTTCCTTTGGGACTTCCCATCGAATTACAGAACCTAAAGACACAGACAGGAGTAAGAGGGCTGAGATGAGGAGGAGTAACTGACGTCAGAGGTAATGGGACGGTAGAGGAGTTTGGAGAAGTACATTTCAGAACACTTTCTAACCTTCGTCTTCTATGAAATAAGCTTGTACAGACACTTGCAAAGGGAACTCTAGTGGCCTAGTAGTTAAGGAGCCGCACTGCCAACCCAAAGGCATATGGTTTGAATCTCCCAAGCTGCTCTGAGGGAGAAAGATGGGTGATCTCCTCTCGTGTGATTTGATTTACAGCCTCTGAAAACACACTTGAGGCTCAGCTATGACTCAAAGCACGTGACACCAAAAACACCTGTAAAAGAAGTTATCCATGCAGATGGCAAATGGGAATAGCTTCTATAGGACAGTAGCCCCATGACAGTGACAAATTAAGTTAATCAAAACTTCATTTCCCTGTTCGGAAGTGCCAAAGTTCACACTCACTATGTGCAGAGGGTCAAGAAACGTTTCACAATCTAGAAAGAACAGCCTTCCATCACTGGAATCCTCAGGAGAAAACGTAAAACACCAACGAAGGTTCACGTAATTTCCACAACACGCGAGTCTCCCGCCAGTAAAAAGAGGTAAAGGGAAGTGCTCACCGCCCAGAGCTGGCCCCACGTGGGTCGCAGGGGTTTAGGATGAATCACAATCTTCTCTTCTGATTTCTGTTCTCTGGATTCCTCTTCTTCATCAGAATCACTCCCCAGAGCCTTTTCTTTGTAGTTCTGACACATTGCATTTTCTGCAATACAAACAATCCCTGCATATCACTAATGCCCTCCAATTATTAGGCTATTTGTTGTAAACAAACATCTGTTATTTACACAACAGTTAGGTCTCTAGTTTGATAAACATATGGATCTAGTCTTTGAAGAGGAACATAAAATCAATGTTCTCACTCACATAGTTCTGTATCTAACTAATCTGCAAGGGAAAGAAAGGGAGGGCCCTAGGAATGCAAAGCAGTTTCTGTCCACCTCTAGGGCATGTCTACTCTGCTCTACAAGGTCACTTCGGGTCAGAGCCAACTTGATGGCACTTAACAACAACAAGGCCCTTGACTGCCATCAAGTCAACTGGACCATGAAGAAGAGCCTCAACAGTGCTGTGTTTTTATGTCCTTATCTGCAGTCACCCTGAGTCTGCGTGGAAACACGGCCTGATCCTGTGCTATCCTCACAATCACAGCAGTGTTCTGACTTCGGCCTGCCGCTGGAGGCTGCGCTAAGCCATCTCACTGAGGGTCTTCTTATCAATGAGCCTCTACCAAGCATGGGATGCGTCGAGTCTTCTCCTGGGACTGGACCCTTCTCACAACACTAAGTGTCATCCTCCTTGTGTGAAAGGTGCATTCTGTCTGCATTTCTTCTAGAACAGATTTGTTCTGCGGGGATTCACTATTCTGTGCCAACATCATCCCAATTCAAAGTTCTCTACTGGCATATAGTATAAGCATAACACTGATGGTGGTATTTCTCACTCTCGTTGTCATAGCGACGTACTACTAATTTCGCTTCAGATAGGATTAAACTGGGGACCAGTGACCTTCAAAGTAATTGTCACTCAACTGATGAGTGAAAGGTGTGGACCTAGAGCCTAGGCTCTCAAGGCTCCAATATTACCTGTCTGTCCTCACCACTCTCCCGCTCTGTTCCCAATCAATCTCTCACTCCTGTCAGTCATCCCTCAGAAGAATCCTACATTCCTTGTGCATATGAATGGGAAAGATTTTCTTGGGCACACACAAAAAAATCCAACATAAAACTAATTATAGTGAAAGCCTCTCCACTGACTTTAAAAACATTTAAAGTGTGTAGTCCTATGAAGCCAAAGTCAAAGAATTTGCATCAAATCCCAGCGGACACTAAATGTGTCCTGAAAGAAATGTATCAGGCAGATGCCCTGCTCATGTATAGAGCCAAGTTCATGGGCAATGCAAATGGTAACATGATTGACTATTAAGCAAAACTTGGAGTTTGTCCAGGGTTTTCCAGGAAGAAAGGTCTAGAAAACTCCTGCTAAAAAGACAAACCAGCAGCCACTGACAACTCTATGGAGTACTGTATCACTATAGACATGAGTCCACCATGAGCTGAAATCAACTGACTGACAACTGACACACAGCATAGGAGGAAGGAAGCAGAGTCAGAAGACCTGGGTTCTGCTGCCTCTGTCACTAGCTAGACAAGTCACTAACCCTCTTAGAACTCTGGGACTGTTCACGTACAACACCAGGGAGACGAAGGTGGCCTGACTAGCTAAAATGCTGCCTCCGGATAACTACTCTGCAGAGAATGGTTTCCTAAGACTGAGTGGAGAGAATGACATTTTCTAGTCAGTGCTCCGATAGGAAAGTGACTTTTATAAATAATACAGGAAAAAATCTCTTGAAAAAGTCAAGGTTACTTATGGATAGTTGTACAGTTGCTATATGGACAGGCTATATCCTTCTCTGTGTTTCTTTAACAGTTGAAAAACTCCAACTTTCCAAAGCATGACCCTCCCCAGAACCAAGGTCCCCTGGCCCCATAGGGCTGCAGCTGGGACTGGTCCTTGCATGCTCCTGCTGTTGGCTGACACATGACCCATCTACTTAGAGAAAATCTGCTAATCTGATTAGGGCTTGTACACCTGGGTAAAGCTGCTGTTTGTTTTTTTTGAGATCCTTAACAAAACTTCTTATATGGGTTACAAATTCTTAGGAATATGTTTCCATCAGCTAGGGAGGTTATATTTCCCCAAGTGTGAAACTGGATAGTGAAGCAGAAAATCAGGAATGATAATAAAATATGGAACTAAGGGAGCAATGAATATTAAGTCAAATGGAAATATGACCTAAGAGCTAAATGCCAAACTCAGAATTTGTAATTAAAAAGTTAGAGTGTGTATGCTCTTACTTTTTCTTCTTCATATTTTTGAGGGAAATGGGAACAAAGCCAGAGGAGGAAAGAATTAAAAATCCTAGGGCACTGACAAAAGTAACAGCTTATAGGAAACACCACTTATTTTATCCATTGCTAGTATTGCTAGAAGAAAGTTTAGCTTTACAGAGAGCTTTGTACTGTAATAACAGAGGAAGCTGAACATTTCTCTCATGTTAAGTATTTTTGTCCCTGCAGTTGGATTTCAACTTATAATTGATATTCCACATTGAAACAGTAATAAAAGTCTGGGAAAACAACGCTTACCTTCCTCATCAAATGTTCCTTGTCCTTTCGGCATTTTTTTCTAAGAAACAGAAAAGCAAAAAAGCAAAGCAAACTATGTATATATGAGTCAAAATGAACATGCAGCTATTTTAAGCAAAAGTATTGTAGCTAACTCTTAGAGCAGTTCCCTCAATGACCACTACGATTCACTTTATAAAAAAAAATAATAAATAAATTATACAGTGTTCCCTAAGCACTGTCAAAACAGCCTGAGTATCCTCAACTGACCACAGTTTGGTTCATGTCATTGCTTGTGATTCACCATGTCTGTTAAATTGAACTTTGCTATACTTGCAGAGTTGGGGGAAAAAAACAAATCCACGTAGAATGTTATGTAATTTCTTTTGTTTTAAGACCATAAGTCTCTAAAATAAAACAGGCTTGTTGTATTACATATGTGGCATTTAGAGACTGGTTCCAGTTCTCTGAATAATTAAGAAACCACGAGGCTGCCAAAATGAATGGCTGCCCTCATGCCTAGATCTGTTTCTGGAGAAGTCAGCACACACAATCCAAAACCTTACTGTCTAGTCTTCCTTTTTTAAGCAATGTCACATTTAATATTTTAGTAAGTACAACTTCCAGGCCTTAATCAAAGAGGCAATACCACGCAGCTCATTCTAACCTGAAGTTCTGGGCTCCTGTATCTGTCAAACGCTCAAAGACAGATGAGACTAAAAACAGACAAAAACTTTAAAAATAGGCAACTTTTGAATTTTAAAAATAAGTACTTTTTGTGGTTCTGGCAATTGTTTCTAAAATTTGTATTTTCCCTAAACTACAGGGAGTCCTAGAAACATTCAATAATTGAAGCAGTAGATACTTAATGAGCTAAAATACAAATGAGTACTTTTCTGTATGATCAGTGACGCTGACCCACACTTTCACACAAGCACCTGACCACTAGATCACACCACCAAGAACTCAGACGCAGGCCTGTCTCCTTTCAAGAAGGGAGATCCCTCTCTCTGGGCTGTTAACTTTCTAGTAAATCTTTCTTTACTTTTTTTTAACCTTAAAAATTATGAATGCAGATGCAACTTTATTTAGTTGTCTGTCTTAAAAGGGCTCCGGGCTCATTAAGCCAATTTTTACTGTTATTTTTAACTTTAAATCTCCTATTTTGACCGCCAAACAGTGCGTGGGTTTGGGAAACTGAGACAGCTGCCCTGAATTTCACTTCCTCCCACCAAGCTGCCTTATCAATCTTGACCACAGCAGAATGACCAGAAAGACAAATGTGCACAGGTATCCCGTGAAAGAAAATGAAAACTAGTTAACCCCTGGTTTTCCTCTTGCGCCCCAGCCCCCCATCTATTCTGGAGAGAGCACGGGGCTTGGGACACTCCCTCCTCTCCCAGGCTTACCTTTATCCTTCCCAGGCTGGAGAACTTCTCTCTCTCTTCCACCACTGCTTTCAGAACTGGCTGTGACAGTCTGTTCTTCTTCTTGGAGCTGGCAGGGTTGTCAAAATCAAAGCCACTGAAGACCGCTCTGCGGTAGGACGTGGACCGCAAGCCTCTCCGCAGTGACCCTGGGCTATCCAGGTCGTTCTCGGCCTCATCCCCCGTGGGGCCCAGGGTCCCTCCGATGCCCTCCACCATGCTGCGCACCTTATGGACCCTCTTGTGGGGCTCCACGTTCTGGCTGTTGGATTTACTTATCTTAATCTCCGAGGCCAGGCTCTTGGGAATGATCTGGTGCTTCCCCACCTTGAGGGCGGCGGGGCTGTGGGTGCTCAAAACCACCGAGGGGTACTCCAGGGGTTCGCTGTCCTTTGAGGGCAGCCTCTGGAGAGGGAGCTTTTCCTCGGAGGACCTCTTCTGGGGCGCAGCGAGTCTGCAGGACCTCTGCGCCGGATCCTGAGCCGTGTGGCCGGCGAGCGAGGTGGCGCCCGCGCAGTCACCAAGCGCTGCAGGCGCGTTAGAGGCGGGC